ACTGAAATACTGATCTTGAGGCTCCAATGTGTTCCTTCCTGGGACTTGATAATGAAAGATGCTGTGCCTGGAGGGAAAAAGGAATCTCGAGGAGGAGATGAATGGTGTGCTTTTTTCCCCAAAATACACGAACGTGGTGTTTTCCGGTCCTGGATTAACGAAACCTCCCATCCCGCACTTCCTATAGAGACATACTGTCAGGATGTGGTACGGCTCGATGCGTACCCCTCGTAATAGGACTTGCCTTCCCATCTGAAGGTGAGCACTGGGTAGTCCTACTTCAGCTGTGTTGGTTCAGGCAGGGCAGAAAAGACTTACGCGCAGCCAATAGGCCCTTGAGCTCTGCAGCACCAACCAGCTCAGTAGACAAATTGTTGTAATGCACCTCCTAGGTCGTGGTCTATCTACCCTTCATTCAAAAGCTGCATTTACCTTCTAGCTAGTCCTTAGCTCTGTCACATTTTTCCAGCGCCTGTTTTCAGGTGTTTCTTTTGCAACTAATCGTGTAGGAAGTGGCTGGATGCTCCCTGCCATTATTTGCTCAGTATTTCCAGATGCAGTGGTATTGAACCACCGCTTGATTGCCAGCAAATTTGGTATCTTCTTAACAAGATAACCCATGCCTAGAAACGTCTCTGAGATACTACTATGCTATGTGGAGCCTGACCGAGTTTATAATTCCACTAAGGCCTTTCATTAACTGGAACTCATGCCAAGCTAGTACCTCTCTTCTCAGCCTTCAAATGGAGGGTGTGATACCACCTTGTAAGGCTGTGGGATTAAACGTGATAAATGTAAAATGCGAAACATGATGTCTGGCACCTAAGAGGGTCCCTTAATATCCCATTAGACAGTTGTGTGGATGGAATCATCAGGTTCAACTTCATTTCTTAGTATTTTGCTTTTTGGGATACTTACAAGTTACTCAACTTCTCTGGCTAATTTGATATTTAATGTAAAAGGAAATGACACTATTTTGTCACACTTTCGGATGCTTAAGGGGAATCTGAAATACAAAAATGGAGCAACGTATTAAATGAAAGATAAAACTCACTTTAGAAAAAAAAATACCTATGCAAGCGAAAGAAACCCATGTATAGTGAGAAAGCAAAGTTATAGTAGTTCCCTCTCTGACCCTGCTGACTTTTATCTCTCTTTATTTGCACCAGTACTACTGGGTATTTACAGTGCTAATAGTACTGTGCTGGCTTAGCCATGGACAGTGCTTCTCAGAAGGGTTGGCTTTTTAAAAGCAAAGTTTTCTACAAAACTAAGTGTAAAGTATTAGCATCTTAGAAACGGATGATTGTTCTTATTTCAGGAAACCTGAAGTCTGTGTATAGATGTGCCTGGCTGGCACAGTTGACCACCATTGGTATCGCTCCCCAAGTTCACCATGGTTCTTATTTAAACTGATTAGTTTTCCTCTGGAGTTAAGTACCAGAAAACCAGTTTAGTCAGTGCGCCCATTAGTATTGTTGATCGCCAGCCACACAGAGAGGCAGCCAGGCAGCCTGCAGTTGAATCCCAGGCACTCTCTGGTCAAGTGACCACCAAAATTACTCAGAGTTCCTTGTGCCTCCATCTCCTCATCAGCAAAAGATAAACATAGTACCTAGTAGAGTTGTTGTAAGGACTAAATTAAACGAGTTAATGCCTCTAAAAAGCTCAGGAGAACCTGGTACCTAGTATGCACTATTTAAATATTTGTTAAATGTCTTCTTTAAAATCTTTCCTTTAGATCACTCTCTGCCAACAGTAACAAGTGATGCTGGTCTCTTCCTGTTTAAAAACCAAATTTCCTAATGAGTCAGCCATGAAGTCTCAGTCTCTAGTGTCTGAAGGATACTTCAGGGTCTCAGCTCATTTGTAAAGCAAAGATCAGTGAAATACTCAGAGCCAAATCTTTTCAAGCCCAGATTATCAACCGATACTTCCTCAGGAGCCAGGTAAGGCCCCCAATAGAGTGACCGTGTGGAAACCTACTGAGTTTAATTTTATGATTATCAAAGAGACTTTAAACTTAAAATTGTAAGACATGACTTATAATAGCAAGGCACAATTTCTCTTAACTGCTTTGTTCTACATATAATACCACCAAGTATTCTGTTTATTATTTTCTGTCCACTAGGTTTTCTATTTATGTTAATCAGAAATATACTACTGAGGTGGTAATTACCACAAAAAAAGAAAAATGTACTTCTTTAAGGAGATGGGTGACATTTTACTTGGACTGTGCTGAGGGTAAACAACGTCTATGAAGTGTTTTGGATTTGTTCATAACCTTGGTAGAATAAAAATCAATGTGGTTTTTTTTTTCCTGTGAATTGGGGTGAAGAGAGAATGAAAAAAGCTTGTAGAATCTCACTTTTGTGATTGCTTAGGGCTCAGACTTCCATGTTACAATCACTGATTAAACATAGTAATTTTATATATTTAAATACATGGTCTCAGCACTTGAGATTCAGTTAAAGAAAATTGGTAGGTTGATAAATTGTGCTTAGACAGTTGAATTTCCTTTTTTACTTACATAATTGGAATGTAGATTGTATAAGAGTTGGACATTGGCATGATTCGGAAAATGGAATATTTATTCTAAAATATTGTTATTCTACAGAAACTTCCCTTAAATAAAGCCCATTTTCCCACGAATTTCCATGATAGAGTTCTGCTGAGAAAAAAAAATTAGTCCCTACCTCTTATGTAGGTTATGTTAAAGAAATCTTACAAATATATTTGAGAGCAAACATAATCACCTTAGAGCCAGGTTTTAATAATCTTGTATAAATATATATGAAATAGTGCAGAACTTGATAACACTGTATTATAGTTAAATTTTAAAAAGAAACCACTGTAGTGTCAACAGTCCTTACCTAATTCAGCAGTTGACCCAAATTTCATACTCATCTCAAATTGCCTTAATCCTTTCATCTCGAATCCAAGCTCATTCTTTCACATCAGAATGATGCCCTACAGCATTTCAAGTATTCAAACCACTTTCCTATCATTTTCTTAACATCCCTTTGGGGTAGATATGGCGACTATCATTATGTCTACTATATTATTATGCCTCAGGGAGGCACACTGTCTGACCTCAGGTCACACGCTGACAGGTAACAGAGCTCAGAAGAGAGCCAAGATGTTGTCAGCCTCATTCAGTGCCCTTTCCACCACACTGGCTCCCATTTTCACATGGATTCCTTTGCTTATGAGGGCAAATGTTTTATTTAGTGTATATTTTAAATATTTCTAGCAATAAACATATACAATCAATTTTTCAGACTTCCTCTACCAATTTTGTCTCAGACATCTGTATCAGTACATGACTGGTACTACATGGAAAGTAAAGTTAAGGCCCAACTGTCTGGTTCTTGCTTGTAATCAGTTGATAAGTCAAAATGAGAAAATTGATAGATTGTGTTTGCTTTATCTATTCTTTTTTTCTCAGCGTAATGCTAGGTTTATTCAACAGATTGCTGGTTTTGCCTTAAAGGGAATCTGAGCTGCCAGGCACTAGCCATTGGCTTGCTCCCTAGGCTGCCTGGAAAAAGAAGCCTGCCCAGTGGTGCTGGAATGAGAATCTGTTCAGAAAACGATGAGGTTCAAGGGCAGGGGAACAGACAATAAAAAGCAGAGATAGGAGACTGAAAGAGTAATGAGTCACATCCCAGGCAGTGCCCTGTGTCTTGCGTGGAAGGAATGCTCTTGAAGCCGCCCCCAGGGTACACGTGGAGGCTGCCTCTTGGCCTGCTTGCTTCCTCTGCCCAGGCAGCCTGCCTGAAGGCTGAGGGAAACCAAAGGCTCGGCACATGTGTGACCCAGACGCGCAGGGCACCTCGGGTGTTGTGCACAGCAGCCGGGCATCTCAGCCCTACAGAGAAGGCCCGTGAACTTGGCCACTGAACAGACAAAATAAACATCCACATTCCCAGAGCAGCCTTGAATTCTAAACAGCAGTTAGTCCTGGGTAACTCTGAGGACAACCTTTCTGATTAATACACACATCCGTAATAAAAAGAAGGAAGAAACAATTCCTAGTGCTTGACGTAGTGAAAGAATCTGCTGGTCATAGTGCAAACAGCCTACCCTCACTCGTTTGATTTTTTTAAGAAGTCATTTCCTGAACACAATTCTATTTGGATAATATACAAAATAGTTTCCCTAACCTGGTACAAAAGCAGGGCAGTAAATAATTACTGAATAAATGAATGAACACAGTCTTAACTTTTGCACTATTACGTATATTCCTTCAGGTTTAGTGTAACAAGAAGTACAAGTTAGTTCAGTTTCTCTTACCCAGAGCATGTTATCAAACGAGCCATCTTCGTAGGTGAATGACTCACAGAAGTAGAGGGTAAAATACATAGATGACAGGTGTATATTCTGAAAGTGTTCTTTTATTATATCAAGAATCTTCTAGCTGTGGCAGACAAAAGCATTTTAAGAAATGCAATTATGATACACAATAGCTTTTAATGAAGGATATTGGTAGGCCATTTATTATCATATTTAACATTTTAAGTCTCAGAATGTCCTCGGTCTGTGATTAAATCACTCTGGGAAAAATACTGGTTTTGGAGCTTAAATGGGTAAATGTCAAAATGAGAAATAGGTTTCAGGTAAATACGATAAAGGATTTCAGTGTTTCTGTGTCTGAAAAGGGAATTCTAGAATACTGAGATCCTGGAAGGGACCATGTAGCTCAGTGGAGGAGCACATGCTTAACATGCACGAGGTCCTGGGTTCAATCCTCAGTACCTCCATTAAATAAATAAAAATAAACTTAATCGCGCCCCCCCCCAAAAAAGGAGCAGCTATGGAATACTGAGATCCTGACTTGTGCGAAAAGCCACAAGTTCACAGTCACAGGTGGGATGGAAGTTACTGTAACAAGACATGTTTT